GGTTTCCATTTCCACAACTTCCTCGAGACTTTCGTGTGAGGTGGAATTAAGCGTTTCGTCGTCTGAGATGGAAAGCGACCATCCCCCGCCTTTATCATTTTCATCCATTGCGGTTAAATATCGCCGCAATGGTGTTTTTGATAAATATTTTTCAAATAATTGCAATAATTTCAAATAATAGGGGAATTTACGTATTCTCGGCAACCTAAGCAGCGACCTTCTTTCTATAGCCTTTTTCTCTATGGAACGCACACATATGCAGTATTGGTTTGTTTACAATCTTTTGCTGCCAGCTGCTCTAACAATTTCAGTCGAAAGAATTGTCAAAAACTGTTTTGAAACGCTTTTACAAAGCTCCAATCTTCTCTAGTGAGAGCGAGTATTGTCGGCAACCAGTTTTTCTTCGGTAACAGTTCCATTTGAACTGCATGTAAATCTGCTGTTCTATTATCAGCAACTCGAAATCAGCTACAATTTGTAGTGCGTGTGTTTCATTTCAAGAAAACCCTGCTAGATTGCTTTTTCTCAGTGGTAACAATATAGTCAAATTGAAGCTGAAAGCATAAAGAATCGTTTGCATGCATTCAGCGAAGTGTTTTCGTACGAAAATCCAGTGAAACAGTGTTTCAATTTGGGTTGCCGAAAATAGTCTGTCATGCCGAAGCCGTCATTTCCCCTATCAAAAATAGAAAAAAAAAAATGCTAAAAATCAAAAAAAAATTGATATAGTTAATTTCAAATAATATCAAAAATAGAAAAAAAATGCTAAAAATTAAAAAAAAAATTGATAGAGTTTAACCCTAAAGAGTAATACGAAAGAAAGAAAAAAAAACCAAGAAAAAAATTAGAAAAAAAATATATACACTGAAAAAAAAATTGGATCACCCTAACTATGCTCTACTTAAAAATAGTACGAGAAAAAAAATCAAGAAAAAAAAATTATAGATATATACTATTTACAAAATCTTGGATCACCCTAATTATGACCCAACCTAATCTAATATTGGACCATGCGGGGAGAAGCGATACTGGTGAAAACAAAGCGACACGTTATAGGGGAGAATGGTATACAACGCACCCCCTGGGCAGAACGCACCAGCTGACTTTCATTTGTGTTTTTCATGGCTTTTAAGTAACTTTTTTGTTGTGTTATCAAGCAGCACTTCTAGCATAGCATCTGAACTCAAAATCCTGCATGATAAAGCCTAGAATTGGATTTAAAATTCCAAGAAAAACTCAAAATAAAATGAAAAAGTGCGTCTTACCCCGGGGGTGCGTTATGTACTGTTCTCCCCTACCTATTGCACTGAGGCGGCAGATGACTGGTGCGATGCTATTGTTCGTCCCAACGGCTGTTGGGTCGATAACCTTGTAGCTGGTATGCCTCGGACACCTCGGTACGCAATTTAACGTGCTTTCATTGTTGCTATCAATGGGATGATGTGATGATGCGATGATGATGAGATAAAGCTGGACCGTAATCAAAGCGCTCGGCGTATGACTAACGGCTTCCTCACTCGCGCACTAGTTGTCTTAACACTATGCCAACTAACTTTGGCGAGAAAAAACCCTCGCGTGGGGAAAAACTCAAAAACTCAAATACTAGTGTCGTACAACGAGACCGATGCGACTTGACCGGCTCAGCGTGCGAGACGGAATGGAATTTCTTTTTTTCTGTGGTGTTTTTTTTTTTCTTACAAATATCTACACACCCGCACAACTTTGACTGTCAAGTTTGGTTTGAACTTCTTGTTAACATCTTTCTTCTGGATATTTGTGAACATCAATTTTCATAAACTGCTCCCTTTCTTATACCGGTAAACGCCAATGTAACATGCGTGAGCCGTATTCACGATTTTTTTTAGGAGACAAACTCTCATTTTTACGTCCTTCCACCCTGCTCATGCCCTCGATCATATTTCATGAAGGAAGCGTAAAAGAGAAAGAGGTATCGCAACAAATTCTCACTATTTTACCTGTTTTCTAAAACATGGAGTGGGAGTTGTTCCACCAACGACCCGATGATACAGCTTATAGAAGTTACATTCAAATTCAAATCCCTGTTCATAAGTTTTTCCTTGATTTCGTTGAACGTCGATGAAATTCTTCAAACTTTCATGATTTTCTTTGATGTTCTTGATTTTTTTCCTGAAATTCTCAGATATTTTTTAAAATTCATAGTACTTTCCTAATGATATTAAATTTCCCCTGTGGTTCACAGACCATCCTAAAGTTTGCAAAAATTTCCTCACGTTTAAAGAACTGTTTGCAGAACATCATTGAAATTCATATAATGTTTCTATAGTTCACAGAACTCTCTTGAAGTTCGTAGAACTTACCAGGAGGACATTCAACTCCTCTGAAGCTCACAAAATGTCCCTGTAGTTGGCAGATCTGGAGAGCGAAGCACACCTTTAAAGTTTGAAGAATTTACCTGAAGTCTTTCCTGAAGTTCAATGAACTTCTCTGAAAGTTGTTGAAATTCTCTGCTTCTTTAAAAGAACTTATTTAAAGTTTGCCGAACTTTCCTAAAATTCACTACAGTTCCCTATAGTTCACAGAATTTCCTAGAAAGTCACTGAACCTTCCTGAATGTTTCCTTATTCAAAATATGGGAATTGCAATGAAGCTCTAGCAATTCTATAGTAATTCAAGGCTAGGACTACCTAAACTCACTGGGAAAACGTAGCTAACCTCATGTGAGTTTATTCCTGTATTATCGGAAAGACGATTTTCCATCCAATTCGTCATGGTTGCCAGAATTTATTTTCAATCTCGCCATTAAGTCAAACATATATATTTATTTTTTTTTTAAATCCAAGCAAATTTAACTTCACCACCTGCTGAGTACGGGACACAAAACTTTCTGATACCTACTATCTCCTTTATTGAACTCCAGTAAAAATCTTTCAACGATCGTCGCTACTAAAGCGGCTTGATTTTTTTATACGTTTCTTTCTCTTTTACTCTTATGAGGGAAGAGAAATTAATTAAGAAGTTGTTCAAGCAAAAAATATTAATTGATTTTGGTCAAAGTCGACATAATCAATACGGATCTCACTTGAGAGTCAAAGAGAACTCTTTAATGCCATTTAGATTAATGCAATTATCATTTGAACCTTGCTTAACTGCATTTGTTCAATTCGTAATAGTTTTGTATTGTCAATAGTCCATATATGCCTTCATAATCGGCTTTGTAAACTTCAAAACACTTTTTCTCAAAAAACCCAAGATGAAATATTTTAAAACCATCACAGATTTGATTGTTAGGATCAATACTAACATCCTGTCAAGGAAAATCTGAGCTACATGAATGTTGAAAAAAAAAGTGCCTTCAGACATAGCGTGGGTCGCCTTCTACTTCGTCTTATCCCGTAATTTTTTTCAACCTCCCAGGAACTTCAGGAATGCTTCCAGAGATTTATAGTAGTTCCACAGACAAACAGACGTAACTCTTCATTGTGTATCTTCGTTCATGCATTTAACGGTTGATTTGAATATTATCAGTTCCGCGAACTACTCGCCGCAGCGCTGGCATCGGATCACTTTGACGTTTCTATATATTCTATAGAACTTTTATGCAATATTGTTTACGAGTTAGCGAGCAAGCTTGTTTTCCGCGAGAAGCCAGATAGATGTCGCTACTGAGGTTGTATGTTTTGAGATACTATGTTTTCAAGAACAAGTTTTTCAAAGAGTTACGTCTGTTTGTCTGTGGTAGTTCCATTAGCTTCAGGAAAACTGCAGGATCTTTTCAGAAGTTCTGAAACTTCAGAATAGTTTGAACTCTTGGGAAAGTTTAAAGATTTGTAAGTGTGGTAAGTTCCGATAAATTAAAGGCAGTTTCATTAACTGGTGTTAAAATTCGAGAACCCGGGAATGTCAGGAAAGTCCAGAGAACTCCAGGGAACTAAAGGACACATCTGAAATATTTTGGAAACTTCACAAGTCAAAAAAACCATTTGTTACAGGAGAATTGAGATATCTTTAGGAAAACTCTGAGAACATCAGGACACATCAATTCATGAAAATTTCTGAACCTTTAAAGGAGTTCCGAGAAACTCAGGGAATTTCCAAAAACTTTAGCAACGTTCCGAGAGGTTCATGAAAACTTTGTAAACTTCAAAACTGCCCCATAAACTTATGAAAAAATGCAAGAACTTTCAAGTAGTTCCAAGGAACTAAGGGATATTCCGAAGTGAATTTCAGGAATGTTCTGAAAATGTCAGAGTTTTAGGGTCTCAGGGATGTTTTATAAATATCTGGAACACTGCTGGATCATTTGAGCATGTAAGGAACTTCTGGGAATATTGCTAACATCGCCCAGAAATCAATTTCTTTCAGGTTTTTTCCTCACTTCACTTGAAGTATTTTGCGCTCTCTGGCTTTCGCCTGTTTTCCAGAAGTTTCTCCCAGTGCCTCCAAAAAATTTCTTCCATCTTCTACAGGAAGTTCTCCCAGAAGTTTCTTTCATCCTCTGGAAGTTTCTCCTTAAGTCATTCTCGGTAGGTTTTTTTTCCGACTTCTAATGACTTCCCCTGGAATTGCCTTCCAATTTCCAAAACTTTTCTGGTTTCCTCTGGGTGTGTAATCTGATTTTTTTTTCCAAAAGTTTCTAAAGTTTTCACTAAAAGTTTCTCAATACATATATGTCTTGGAAGATCCTCATCGGATATTTTTCCGACATTTCTTAGAATTTCCTGCCAACTTCCACCAACAAGATCTTCTTTAATCTTTCTTTTGAAGTTTTTTCGATATCATTAAGAGACTAATTCAAATATTCCCGGAAATTTCTTGCGACTCACTACTTCGTTCTTAGTCCAAAAGTTTGAATTTTCGCATTCAAATAAATACCGATTTTTTAAACATTTGATACCGATAAGCTTGAAAACAATCTGGCAACCCCGATTATGGACATCGGGGACTCCCACAGCAATGAAGCACAGTCTTATATTTAAAGAAACAAGTTGCAATCACCATTCAGTACCCTAAGTGCACCTCTACCTACTTGTGCATATTTACCATAAACCATGGCCAATCTTTTCACCGTTGCACTTGTGCTAACTCAACTAGTGAGCTTCCTATCGGTGACTGGTGCTCGTCGGCTCTTCCGGTCGTGCAATGACGTTCCAGCCGTTTCCGGAATCTACGACATTCGGCCGATTAATGCAACGGAATCGTTCGAGGTATACTGTGAGCAGGGTTTCGGTGGGCGGTGGCTGGTGCTTCAAAATCGATATGATGGATCGGAGAGCTTCAATCGCAGTTGGGCGGATTATAAGAGCGGATTCGGGGTAATTGGAAACGAGTTCTGGCTCGGATTGGACAAGCTGCACCAGGTTCGTTGGATTCACTGCTTATGAAAGTAATGAGCGATGTTGTTGAACGGTTTGAATAATTCATGTGCAGATTACATCCGCTGATGAGTACGAGCTGATGGTGTGGATGGGTGACTTCAAAGATTTCGAAGCACATCAGAAGTACAAACTGTTTGCGGTAGCCAATGAAGCGGATAATTATCGACTTACGCTGGATGGATGGCGGGATGGGACTGCAGGGGAGTCGCATTATGTATATCGTGATCAGCAATTTACCACCTTTGACAGGGATAACGATAAGTCTATTATGAATTGTGCCGTCGAGATGGGGAGTGGCTACTGGCATTTAGACTGTGGAACTGGCATTAATAGGTACGTGGTTGAATTGTCTGGCTTGTTTAGTATCAACCTATTACATTGCAATTTTAGAAACAACTTGAATGGCATATACAGCGAGGAAGTTTTGAACTGCAGTCGAGGCATGTGGTGGGGTGGTTTTGGAGCCGAACAGAATCCACTTAAATGGACTAAAATGATGATTCGGACTCGCGTCAGTTATTAAATTAAATACATTTTCCTGATTGGTAAATACTGAGAGTCTTTTATCTTTAACGAGAAGCCCTTTTTTAGCTGAGCAACCACAATGACAAACCCTTTTTTCCTTATGCACGGCTCTCAAGTGGTACCACTCCCAGATCAAAGTGTCAACCGTGCACTGATTTCAAGACAAATATTGACAGTGCAAAATTATTTCAACTACACCGTATATATTGAAGCGTTGCTTGGTTTGCTCGGAGTTCCAGGCTTCGGTTCGGTTAGAAAGGGTAAACAGTTGTTTTTTTTTGCTCTACGCTACTAACTGGCAGCTCGGTGTCGGTTCTAATGGACAAAGTGATATTGCAGTAGGAAAAGTCTTCTACAGGGAAAAAATGCTCTCTGTCCGACAGTGTGAAAACGAAAGTGAAAAGGGGCGTATAAACGTGGGAATGAGTCACGTTGTCCGTTTCCATCCCGGAAAGGCAGAGTGCATAAATCATAGCACAGAGAAGAGTATAATTCCTGTACAAACAGGGTGCCGAACGAGCCCTTTATGACGCTACTGATGCCATCGATGTGGTGCGACATCGGTGTATCTATTACAGAGAGCGATAGTTTCGTTGGGATTTGATGGCAGTGATAGAGATGGACTGAGGAAATAAAGGGATTCATTTCGAAATTGATCATTAGAAATGACAGGAGGAGAATTGGTTTAACGGTCATGTTGAATTCCTTAGTTTGATCCTGTGTTCCAGAAACATTCATACAGTATTCCTCCAATTAGCAATCGCACTAATATAAACGTACTATAAGGATCTGTCGGTATACAACGTGGACATTTTATGGAGTTGGTCAGTTTCGACGATCGATTTATTATTTTTCAAATAAGTGATTGTTTATGTTCGCAAGGGTGTATGTGTATGTGCTTGAATATCTTTAAAACAAACAAAAAATCAGCATTCTCCATTTTAAAGAGGGGACTTCTCCAGGAGTTTTGAGACTACTTCTGAAATATTTCATCTGGGGGTTCCGAGTGGTAAAAATTCACGATATTTCCCATACAAAAGAAAATTGACCCATAGAAACAAACACTCAAAATTAACCCATAATTTGTATGGAAAAGTGTTCAATAGTAACCCGAAAATGACGGGAAAAGTCGGTTCTTTCGAATGGAGAAGGTTTCGCGAATGGTGAATTTTATGTTTTAATATTAGGAGCTGTTCATAAACTACGTAGGCAGTTTAGAGGGGGGGGGTTGTCAATTATCAACGACCCATACAAATTTAAAAAAAAAATGTATGGACAATTGTCTACGCAGGGAAACCTCACTAACGGTGGAATTACTGTACACTACCAAACAAATCAAAGTGCTCTGTCGATGCACTTTGTTCGGCTAGGCGTCGGTCGTCCTTTTTGTAATCGACAAAAACACTTTCCGGGAATGTGCATGGGAAGTGCATGTGTTTTAATTAAATGTTGTTTTGTTTGTCCACCGCTGCTGCTGCTGGTTTCGCGTGCCGGAGCGTTTTTGTGCCGCTAACGATGATGCTGTGTAATGTACGTGTGTAGCTGGAGGGTATTCGTAAACATGAATAGTTGGTGTAGTTGCTGTGTTTTAGGTTGTTTTTCTGCATACTATCGATAGCCCCAGTAGTTATGTAGTATTTATAGCGCACAGCAAGGATAATCACTCGCCGGAAGGAAACGTGGCTTGGTGATGTTTGCTGCTTCTTGTTGTTTGCGTATTTCGATATGTTCGACGAGAATAGGGTGTGTCTGACAATTTTAAGACGGAATTCATTCGGTCTCGTTCAAGGGTTATTTACAAAGGGACTGATCTGTAACGTTCTGATAAAATATAGTTTTGTAGTTCGAAAGTGTATCACCATGCTTCAACCCATCTATGGTCATCAAACGAATCAGATAAGAAATTTCATCTGCACTCGGTACACTTGACTTTGATTCACCAAGCATTGCACGACTCATCTACCTTACCTTCGTTGGAAAGTTATATTCAGTATGATCTGCCTAAGGTAATTATTGTTGATTGAATCATATGCTGCTGTTTCATCCAATGGATGATCAGGACTCTACGTTGTGTTAACCTGGTAGCTTGTACGATAGAAGAAGGTAGCGACGATGGAGGCTAGATCGGACAGAATACAACTCCAAATTGACATGCGCTCCGAGAAACGCCTCCTCGGAGGTTTGAAATTATAATTTTAAAACCAACTGATGCTAATGTTATTTTGATTTATGAAACGTTTTATGATTGCTTTGTCGTGTCAGAAAAAAAAAATTTGGATTGCTCTTATGAAACCCATGTGTTCATGAATGCCCTTCGAAAAATTTTTGTGTGGTGGTGACCAATGATGCCAGGATTGCTGAATGTTTTCCATATTCCAATTTGGATTTGATTCGGAGTTGCTACCACAGTTTAGCTCCTTTTTTATATTATTTTTGCTTAACACAATAAAAACAACCATAAATTAACAACAATATCCATCGCTTTAAATACGCAGTGCATTCCATTTTTGAACTTTCCATTCACAAATGATTAACAACGCCATTGACATCAACATTTATTCTGGCATCACTAGCAGTCAGATTGATGTGATCGCTCTGTCGATTTTAATCCACGATTGCTACTGTCAAATCGATCAATCAGCAACTGGCTCGGATTTGTTAGCAAATTGGCTCAAAATCGCTCCCCAATTGTCCCGTCCCAGATGATACCCATCTGTCAATTCGTGTGGAAAAAATGAACCGTTCCAATATTCGTGAACAAAAACTCACGATAAGCTGAACTACTAGTTCTGTCGAATTTTCATGAATCTAATCTCAAATCCACATCCGAAACGCCTGTTCAGCGTGACCAGCGATTTCATAACGGTAAGCAAAATACAAAATTAAATCATGATTTCGTGATACCATGAACCCACAGTCGTGATTTTTGTTCCTGCAATCGTGAACTAAAATGTAGCTGAAATTTTCAGGTTGTTGTCAAACTTATCCCTACTGAGTGCTCGGATTCGCCAAACATTGTGTGATGATTATTAGTGCATGCAGCTGAGCCGTATCGTCAGAATGGTGGTGGAGTTCATCAAACTGGCCGTAATCCTCGAAGGAAAGAGTAAACCAGTGAACGTCCCTTTCCAAAGCTAAAAAGCGGCGTGAACGCGGCACTAGTTGTGGAGAAAACTTTGAAGATTACCCCAGGGGCGGTGAACATGTTTTCCGCTAGTTCGGACCCTAGAAATAGCATGGAAGCGAAGAATTCAAATCATGAAGACTGGCAACTCTGCCAGAATCCAAGCGACAGATACAGTAGCGCTGTGCTAAAAGCAAAGGTGGCAGTACTGCATAGAACAATTAGCAAATACACAAACCTTTCTTCTTATCATGTTTCAAACCTCCTCTCCCTCTCCCCATCCATGAAACTGTAAATCTCCACTAACCTCCAGACGACTGCGAGTACTCGGTTCAATTCCTTTAACTTTAGATTTTAACTTAAGATTTAAGACATTAATAATGTATAACGCAAAAGATAATTTGGCTCTGTAAAGTTTATTCGATTGAGCCTGTACAAATAAATAAATAAATTTACAAACCTTTCTTCAAAGGTTGTAATCTTTGCTATCAAATCGTTCGAAGCATTTATCTTTGAGCGGCAAATGACGCGACTGTGTCGGTCTCATAGCGGTCGTATGAAACAATGGAAGAGTTGCCAGTATTCTTGATATGTTGTATTCGATGGAAGGGAAGGTGAACAAGCACCGATGCGGCTAGCATCGGTGAAAATGTGATCAGTGCTTGTTGCTTGTTATGATGATGATGATGAAGGTGGTGGCCGCTGCCTTCATTATGACCGAAAATCCGTTGAATTGATGAGCTGAAAGTGTGTCCACTCCATCTGCTGGACAGATGCCTGCTGCCAATTTGGGGTGTGGATGAAACTTGTATCGTTCGGTTGTTTCGGCCTAGTCTTCCGTCGTTTGCAGTTGCCTTCCACTTCCATGTTGTATAGTCAAATTAAAACATTGAACATTATTTTAATGTTGACGTTTTACAGTCCATGAACCATGTTCCCGTTTTCGAGAATAGATTCACGATATCAAGCACAACTCATGAACTTTAATCACGTTTACTAGAATAAGATCATGATTGTTTCTATGACTTGTGTTGCCTTGGCGGGTGCCCGGTGCAACGTAACGCAGGCTTTACGTTTATTTTGCGGAACAAGGTTCAAGATTTCATGATTTTTATTCCTGGTGTACTTTCGTAAACGAAAAATTGCCTTGTTTCGAAAATCTTGACTTGAGGTTGTCGAATTCCGAAATGATTTTTTCCCGTGCAGTAAGTATACCACCCCACCATTTTGAATCATCTTCACCTCTAATGAGGCAGCTCTAGCTGCTTTCGCAACGCTGTAGATGCCTGCCCATGAGGGGAAATAGACTGAACCGGAGCCGGAAGATCTCACATTTGTCACCTGCGCCTCTTAACAGATTTACAGTACTGAGCGGTCATGAAAGCATTCGAAAATCTGCATTGAAGATGCTTCCATAAATTGTAAACACTCACCTTTAAATGATCAAAAGTTGATGCTAGCAGAAAATGAGTAGTAGTAGTATGTCCATTGGGAGCCCATTCTGACGTCAATATTATGCTCCACTAGACTGATGCAAAATTTGAAATTTTCGCTCCACAGTGTTCAAACTATTTCAAATCGGGTTCTGATTAGCCTCCGAAAGTTTAAACCCATTTGATAAGAAACTGACTTGGCACAAACCATTTGAAGTGTATATGGAAATTACTATGGGAAAACAAAACTGTTTGTTCATTGTCTTTTAGCCTTTTTACATATTGTACTGTTAACAAATTCTATTGCTATTCTTATGGGAATTTTTATCAGTTACAACTTTGCAGAAAATCGTTTTTCAGCAAATCGTCAAATTAAATAGTTATTAATTGTTTAAGAGATTGATAATCTTATGGCAAGATTAAGCAACTGTATTGTGAGCAACACTGTATTCTGCAGTGTGACATAGTAGCCA